GACTCCAGAGGCTCTGTTGGAACCCCCATAAATCAGGAGCTGCGGAGACTGGCCTGGCTTCTGCAGGTACCAGTGCAAATAGGTGTTTCCATTACTATGCAGGAGGCTCTGACTAGACCTGCAGGAGATGGAGGCTGGCTCTCCAGGGGTGATGGGCAGGGAGAGTGGAGTCTGGGTCATCACAATATCCCCACTGGATCCTGAAATTATGAGAGAGAAGTGCAAGGTTATGTGAAAGCATAATGTGCAACTTTTGAGATTTGGCTTATGATGTTGATTTATAGCTAATGTTTTAGTTTTACAAACTTGTATTCATATCCTAAAAACAAACTTTTTAAATGACCCCTTTATTAAATAGGCACAAGAGCTCTTTCATTTCTCAAGATATTATTCAGAGCACTGCTTTTAGGAGGTTTCTATTGTCAGGGCAAAATATAAATTCCTCTCCCTGGATCATAGGCCACATTCCTTTAACACATGGTTAGAATAAACATGGGAATCAGTGGGGCCACCAGAGCTCACCCTCCCACCCCCTTCTCCTCCCTCATCTCCTTCCGTCCTTACCAGGGACCCAGAGCATCAGCAGCCCCAGGAGCTGAGCAGGGAGCCTCATTGTGAGAAGGTGAACTGAGGAGTCCTGATCAGGGAAGGTTAGAGCTGAGTTTTTATCTCAGACTCACGAGGGAAGGTCCTCCCTAGAGGACAATATGCAAATGCCCTGGTGGGTGCAGTGGTGTGGAAAGAGCCACTGGGTGGGGGTGAAGGGGGGTAGATATGTCTTGTCTGTGAGCAATGTGATAGAAAGTGTCCCTTGGTGGGAAACTAAGAAAATCTAATTCATCAGTAGAGTAGGAAGAAGGACCTGAATTTGAAAGTTTCAATTCTGGGCAAGTAACATTTTATAGGATGTCAGGGCTTCCAAATTCTTGTCAACTCTGAGTGTGAACCCGTGTCTCCCCCGGACCTGTATGTGGCACAGCCACAGCTATGAGACCACTGTTCAAAAGGAGATTCTCTATGTAGGAAAAGCAAGAACTGGATCCCTGGTTTTAAGTCTCAGGGTCAGCAGTACTATGGATGACATTTTCCTAGGTTTTTATTGAAAGATGATCACAGCTCAGGGATATGAATCTACCACACAGCGGATCGTTACAATAGGAAAACAACCTGAGTATTCCTCATTTGTCAGTGATGTGCTTAATATTGAATTTAGCAGCTCCTGTATAATGGTGCATCCATCAAATCATGTCACAAAGACTGTTACTGTCCTGAAAAAAACAAAAATCCTGGGAGCGATTAAAAGAGTAGTTTCTAGTGCTATGTAATATTCAATGATTTAATACAATGTCTGATTTACTTGGTAAGGAACACACACCCAGAAAAACCAAACAGAGCTCTAGGTGTTATTATTCCACACAAAGCCTGTCCGATTATCTTCTGGGAGATGCACTGGCATAAGATGTTTTAACATAGTTGGTGAAAAAAAAATTGAGTAAAAATCATATTGACCTTAAAATGTTGAACTTCATGGCAGTAACCTAAATTGAGAATATCAAATTGTAATGTGAAAGTAGGATCAGAATAAATGTATCATTTTTCACTATTTAAATTTTTATTTATTCTTTTCTTCGATTACTTTTTGTAAATCTTATATATTTGAGTGTGTTTTTTTTGGGAGGGGGGATCGATTTTGCTCTGTTACTCAGGCTGGAGTATAGTGGTGCAATCTCCACTCACAGCAACCCCGCCTCCCAGGCTCCCGGGTTCAAGCAGTTCTCATGCCTTTGGAGTATGGAACTACAGGCACTCTCCACCATGCCCAACTAATTTTTGTAGTTTTAGTAGAGAAGAGGTTTCCACATGTTGGCCAGGCTGGTCTCGAACTCCTGGCCTCAAACGATCCACCTGCCTTGGCCTCCCAAAGTGCTGGGATTACAGGAGTGAGCCACTGTGCCTGGCATTGACTTCTTCTTCCTTGTGATGCTGATCAGATCAAATATGGTTCTTATCCCTGAAAATGTCAAACTCCTAATTCATTATAATAGTTAAAAGGGTTAAAAACATCAGATACTGAAAAGAAAAATAAAAGTAAACACACAAAAGAAACACACAATCTAAAAGAGAACATTAAGGTACATCTTATCACTGGTATAAATGGATTAGTCTGAAAAGGTGTTAAATGAATAATCAGTTCCACCTACTATCCAATATAGAAACTTGCACTGTGGGAAAATGAATTACAGTAATAAATCTACCAGGCTTGCTTTTACTATGAGCCAATTCTTCAAATCTTAGTTTTACAAAGTATTCTTTAGGGTGCTGAATTTCAGAGAGTACTGTGGCTTCCTTTGAAAATTAATGACAAAGCTTTAAAAAGGTTACCACTGGGATTGGTTGTTTTATCTCATAATCTCTTGTCATTACATATTTGAAAATGTAAAAGCTTGTAAAAAAATTTTTCAGTAATAAAAAGGTTCTGAAGTAACCCTATACTAAAGGCCTTGAAATTGCCCTATACTGTTAAACTTAAAGAATAATATTCTTCATTCTAAACAGGAATCTCTCTCCTGAATGTTAGTAGAATATGCAGAGGCTTCACAACAGCAGACAAAGCTAGTCGCTCCACGGGGGACACAGATAAAAAGGTAGATGAACAGCCTCCATTTGATCCAGGTGTGGAGCGGGCCTCTGTATTTCTCTCATCTGGACCATGATCACTTGAATGAGGAAGGACTCATACAAGTGGAGTTTACTGCATGTCACTTGCCAGATGCTGTTAGTTTGGAGTCCATAAAATTGAAAACAAGTGTATTATTTGTATGACTTGGGAAGTCAGTCTCAGAAGTGGAACTGAGTCCATTACGCGGGAGTCAGTGTTTGTCGGGTGGACAGTGTGGATCTGTTCACAGAGAGTTTGAGAAATTGGGGTTCTGATCAAAGAGAAAGCGATGTCCTTAGGGTGGAAGCAGCACACATGACTGTTGAGTGAAGCTTTGAGAGATTTGCCCAAAGGAGTCCCTCACAGCAGGAGACTGTCTAGAATCAAAGATGTTGGGGTTGCTTCTCAGAAAACGTGGAGACCAAGGGAACTCCTAAGGTGAAGGAACATTGGAGAAAGGGCTTCTGTGTCTAGGGGTAGCCAGAGAACAGCTTAATCTAGGTCTGAGATATCAAGAGGGCAGGGGTGGTTTGCAATTTTCATAACCTGAGGCTTATCTTACCTACTGCTAACAGATGTGGGTGGGGTTTTCTGTGATATGAAAAGCAAGCATTCTCTGAACGGCTAAAAATCTTCTTTGGGGCTGGGCACAGTGACTCATGCCTGTAATCCCAGCACTTTGGGGAGCATGGCGGACAGATCACGAGGTCGAGAGATGGAGATCATCCTGGCTAACGTGGTGAAACCCTGTTACCAAAAATACAAAAAATTAGCCAGGCCTTGGGGGGCTGGTGCCCATGGCCGTGCTCCACTGCAGCCTCTCCCACTCCAAACCCTCTGTGCTCTATGCAGGACTGAAGTTCTCTCTCTGCCCAGTCTACAGGCAGTTCTACAGCCAACTCAAGTGTCTACGGGGGTCATAGGTTTTTCCAGAGCTAGGATTATGGAGTTCTATGGCAAGTGTGGGATACTCCATGCCTGTTTTACTTACCCCTTCCCTAGGGGCCACTAAGGGTCAGGAGGAGTCCTGGTATTCAGAAACCCCGCACAGGGTTCCCATCTTCCTCCCCTTCCAGGCCAGGATGTATCCTCCCTGTTTCCACTTTAAAAGTCTTCTTTCAAAGATCTGTCTGGAGTGCGCTGGTCCACTTGATGGTCTGGTTTCTCTCAGTGGGAGCAGCTCTTCCTGGCTACTTCTAGTCACCCATCATCAAAAACAGTCATCTTTTTCTTTTTTAATGTAATTTTTAGTAGCTTCTCTACTGTAGATCATTCCAGATACTCCTGAAAGTAACGAGTGTCCACGCTTGAAAGGCTTTTCCGTAATTGAATAAGACGACAGGCCTGAGATCCTACAACTCACATCAGGAAAATATAACAGCAACCTAATTACTGGCATATTGTATTCATTCTGCATTTCTCTTGTAGTAAATGAAGTAAACTTTCTGTTCTCCATCTTCCAGTTTATGCTTTTATATTTTCAGAGTTCACTTTTTTAATTACAAGAACTTCATTTTCACTGAACAAATGGTAATTGAATCAAATTTAAGATGTTGGCATGAAGATTTTATATATACAATGGATCTACAAAGTCTATGAATAGTCAATCAAACATATTTACTGACTATTCTTAGCCATACTCCCCTGAGGGCAGCTTGCGTAGAATGCGTTCTCGAACATGTTAATGAAAAGGGCAGTTTAGTTAAGTGATAAAGGAGATAGTATGTTCGGAAAGTGAGAAAGTAGTACTTTTCCCATATTACCAAGTATTAACTTGAATAACTCAACTTCGAACTGTTTATTTCCAACATGTATCCTACTTGAGTTGGCACTAATTTGCTTCCATTGTCTGGTTGTTCTGCCGAATAAATGTACTTGACACATGTGGGCAAGACAGGGAGGGTGAGGATGAGCTTTCATTCACTCTCCCTTCATCAGAACTGTTTGCTTCTAGGACACTTGAAACATCTGAATAGTTCTACTGTTGATGCCATCCCCAGGCTGTAACAGCTGATTGAGCGCTGCCATGTGACACTGAGGCGCAGCTGAGGCTCTCATGGGCCAGAGTCCTCAGCAGCAAGCTCTTCCCTGAGTTCTCCCACAGCCTCCTCTCTGCAGACTCAGAGACCCTGCTGAGCTGCTCCCCAGACAAGCAGCACATGTGGGCAGCTGGGCCATGCAAACAGGGAGGTTTCTGTTAAGGGCTGTATCAACGTGGGAGGATTTTGTAAAGCTTGCATGCAGTAATAAACCCCAACATCCTCAGCCTCCACCCGGCTGATTTTCAGTGTGAAATCTGTGCCTGATCCACTGCCACTGAACCTGTCTGGCACCCCGGAGAACCGGTTGGAAACTCTATAAATTAGGAGCCGTGGAGGCTGCCCTGGCTTCTGCAGGTACCAATACAAATAGGTTCTTCCATCACTATGCAGGAGGCTCTGACTAGACCTGCAGGAGATGGAGGCCGGCTCTCCAGGGGTGACGGGCAGGGAGAGTGGAGTCTGGGTCATCACAATATCCCCACTGGATCCTAAAACAATGAGAAAGAAGTACAAGATAAGCTACAAATATTATGAGCAACTTTCATGAATTCTGTTATGATATTAATTTATGATTAATCTTTTTTCAAATTTTATTCATATCATAAATAATAGACTTTCTAAAATATACGAAAAGAAGCACAAGGAACTTTTATATTTTCTAAGATCTTAAAGCACTAGTCATTGCTCTTTTGAGATGGTTTCTAATTATTCATAGGAAAAATTATAAATTCCCTTCCCTGAAAATTAGAACATACTCCTTAACATACAGTTTGAATAAACCTGAGAGACTGAGGAGCCTCCAAGAGCACACCTTCTCACCCCATTCTCCTCCCTTCTCTCCTTCTGTCCTTACCAGGTACCCAGAGCATTAACAGCCCCAAGAACTGAGCAGGGAACCTCATCTTGAGAAGGTGAACTGGGCAGTTCTGATCTGTCACTGCGAAGTTAAAGCTGAGCTCTTATCTGACTGCAAGGGAAGGTTCTCCCCAGGAAACAACATGCAAATGCCCTGGTGGGTGTAGTGATATGGAAAGAGCCAGTGGTTGGGGCAGGTCTTTCTTGTGAGCAATGTGACATAAAATGTGCCTTGGAGAAAAACAAATAGAGCTAAAAATCCATTTTGCTTATAGTCGTGGAAAGAAGATCTAACTGTGAAATTTGGATCATGAACAAAGACACATAGGTGTGCCACTCTGAGAGAGCACCAAGATCATGACAAAGTAAAAATGTGTGTTTAGG